GAGAGGACTATAGTCCTCTGATGATCAAATCTTTTAGTTAATTTTTTCCAAAAAACCTGTGACTCTTTTTCAGTGAGATATTCAATTTTCAATCCATCGTGAAGAAGATGAGTGCTTTTGCACGATCCTGTAGGGATTATTTGTTTCCTTATTTTATTGTTTCTCCCAAACCTTTTGAGACGAGATGGATATCTGCATCGAGTACCCATGACAAATAGTTTTTGTCAGATATGTCCAAGTACAGCAAACTTACAGCAAACTCAAGTTTCGTGATATTTGTCATTTGATTTAACTACACAATAAAGTAAAAGAAAATACAATCAGTTTCGAAAAATATGATTAAATATCAATAGTCAATATCAATATGACATAAGTTACGTGTTTTCCTTAAGGGATAAACACTAATTTAAAATAGTATGTTTTTCGAAACATGTACTATTTCGTGGAGCACGTTGTATTTTAATATTGCTTCTTCAAAAGCAATATGTCAATATTCTTCTGGAATATTGAAAATTATAATTTATGCTCTTCATGAGCAAATAATATTCTTAAAGAATATTAATTATAACGTTGTACTAGAGCAACAACATGATAAATATAATATACATGAACCACACAAGATTAATTAGTTTTACCAAACGCATATAATTAAAAGAAAAATTGACTGCGGAACAGTAGACATAAATATCGCAGAATTGTATAAAAGAAATAAAAAAATTGTTGGACATAATCATTACAAAAATTCTACTTCTTCAATAATTATTAATTAATTATGCACTGCTAACAGGTGTAACTAATGTAGCATACAGAATTACAGAATGTGCATATAGAATTAAAGAATTATGAGTGATGTGAATTAAAGGAAACGTAATGATTGTTTGGGAGTCCACCTGTTATTATGCTCTTGTACTTTTCTTTTTCGAGGTACAGAGTCTTTTGAACCAACTGGTCGACCACGCTTCTGACGTATTTGAGATTCATTTGCTACAGCAAATTGTCGTGCAGGGACATCAATTTTTGCTGGGATATTTTCTGCCGGTATATGTGACTTTGTCACTTTTTTTGTGTCAACAAATGTATCTGGTAATTGATTTGCAGCTCTTTGCAAATGAATGATTTTTTCAACCTCTTGCTCACATTGATTG